AGGGCGACAATAGTGGAGGAGGTAAAGAAAATTTTAGTGGTGGAAAAACAAATAAAGGGAGGGGTAAAATGGGTTAGGGGCACTGAGGTGGCATGTCTGTGGCATCCACCTCATCAAATGTCAGTGTCACGTAGTATTAGATGTCCACCTTGGACAAACTTAACGGAAGATGAGCATATTTGAACTAATAGTATTACGGCAGGAATATATTTGGAACCAAATTAGTATAACGAAGGTATATTTAAACCTTTGTCTCATAGTACAGGAGTATACTTGACACTTTTCCGAATTAACTAATTGCATAATCATAGTTCAAAATACTCATATATAGGAGATTATTGAAACAAAAGAAGAAAAAACTAAACAGAATGAATTAAGAGGATTAGCAAATCATGTGTCCTACAGATGAGACACCTGGCAGGAACGAGAAGTGATAAAAATGGCAATCCTCTTGCACGCAACGGAGCGTGCTATTTGGGTGTAAACCTAAAATGGTCAAAAGAAAGAAAAAACAATTTGCTTGGTTTTAAGGCGAATTATAGTACACAGTATACACCTTCCCATACTTTCTCCAGTCATTCTCTTTCAATGTTCTTTGTTCCCTACTCATCTAACCATCCAGCTGTGTTATAAATGTTAATCATCTTTTATTTAACATTCTTTTGTTTAGTTTAACCATTCATGTATTCGGCACAGTGATTCGATTAATTCAGATTCACATCGTACAACAGGGGCGGAGCTAGAGGGCACAGAGGATTTTCCGAACCCCTTTGTTGGAAAAATTATGTTGTATACATATAAGGTTACAATTCTTTTTTTATGTATAAATAGTAAATTTTTGAATCCTTTTGACTTCTACGTGTATTTTCACTACTGTGTAAAAAAAATAAATAGCAGTTCAATTCACAAAGTATCCTGCATTCACACAGAGTCGGGAGAAGAGTCGTACCCCAAGAGTATAATGTAGACAACCTACCTTAATACAAGCATTAGTGGTTATTTTTGTGAGTACCTAATTTTTGACTATATTTGAATATTTACCATCTTTTACTATGTAATTACTTTTAGAAATTTAATATATTTTTTTAGCTTTGTTATATTTTTTTTATATAGGGTAAGATAAGGGTGGCAAGTGGGCCGACCGCGGGATAAACGGGTCAGGACCGTTTGGCCCGGCTTTAGTGGGCCTGGGCCGGTCCTATAATTTGGGCCCACAAGGCCCTGGACCATTTAGCCCGCCAGGGACCGGACCGGTCCCTTAGTGGGCCAAACGGTCCCAACGGCTATTTTTAAAAAAAACAATATAGCAGTTGGCTATTTATAAAAAAGTCATTTAATCCCCCAACTTTGTTTTAACCCCAAACTATTTATACATTCAATATATATACTATACTATACTATATATACATCTTATATACTAATACATCTTATATATAGTATATAAGATGTATTTATAGCTTATCGAATATAACTTAAATGTATAATATATATATATA